GAAGAGCAGGTACAGGAGCCAGGGCAAGCCCTTTTGGGCTCCAGAACCACAGTGGCATCTAGGAATATGTTACAATTAATATTCTTTTAGCAGTTGCCATCCACAGATAGCTAAGTATTAAACCAGCTTAGCAGAGAGTCAGGGTGACAGCCTTTTACACCCTGCCTTCTTGGTACCCAGGTGCACATCTGGCATTCAGGAAGAATCAGGTCACACACTAACTTGAAGAATGGTGTATGCAGGGATTTTTTTTTTTGAGTGGTGGAGGTGGCTCTCAGCAGGATGGATGGGGAGCTGGAAAGGGGATGGAGTAGAAAGATTATCTTCCTCTAAAGTTTGGTTGTCCTGCAGCCAATCTCTCTGACTGTCCCCAGCAAAATTCCTCTTGAAATTCAGATACTCTTTCTCTTTTCTCCTTCTCTACCATACCACACTGCTCTTCTGCTCATCTACTCATGGAGCCTGGAGTTTGGAGTTTATATGGGTATAGGACAGGGGGGCATGGTGGGCCAAAAGGCAAGACTTGGGTGCAAAAACAGGAATGCCAGTTTCCATTAAGGGCCACAGGTTTCCAGGTTTGAGGGTGGAGCCTCAGCCAGGGAACCATCCTCTTCTACCCAGTATTTCCCTGCCTCCTGTCCATACCAACATTGTCTCTCTAAAAATGATAATTTGGCAGCTGAGCCAGGTATAGACAATCTCCTGATGGTCTACAGTGTCACAGTAAAGTGTTAATTCAGAGCAGGCACCAAAGAAAAGCAACTTCCCAAACAGATAAAAACACTTGAGATTGATAATGAAATCTCAGGTATTGGGTGAGTAAGTCCAAGGCATGCACAGTAAGAGACAAAATGGGATTATATCAGAAAAGGGAAGAAAGCCTCAGATGGGCATGTGTACAACTTCCGAAGCACACTGCACATGCTCACTTCCCAAGTGTAATGAGGGCACTGCACATGTGGGCAGCCTGCCCTAAGGGAAGGGCCACAAGGAAAGGGCCACAAGAAAGGGCCCTACCACAGGAAAGGGCCACAAAACCCCAAGAGTGGGCAATATGCAAAGTCCTAGGATCAAGTATAAATGCCACATTTGTCCTTCAGCTTGGCCACTGGGGTCTCTTCCAAATGTACTTTCCTTTCTTTGCTCCTCTAATAGTCTTTTTTAAATCAACTTCCACTCCTGCTCTGAAACTTGCCTTGGTCTCTTTTTCTGCCCTAGACCCATCAGTCAATTTTTTTCTTCGGAGGAAGCAAGATATGAGATTGTTACAGATCCATACAGATTTGCCACTGGTAACCCAAATACCTTCTAAATACCTAACAAACGTATTAAAATCAAAATGAGCAGTGTATATTCTTAAGATACCTTGTAGATTAACCTGGCAGGTCACATTGAGGTATACAGGAATGGTGAATAGGTAGGATGGTGTCAGGTTACAAAACTTTGCAAGCCAAGCAAAAGAATTTAAAAACTAGGTAATCAAATGACTTCATTTCACCGATAAAATGTTATGAAATCTGGGGGGAACGATCCAAGATGGTCAATCACTAACATCTCGGGATTGCAGCTCTCTGTGAAAGCGCAGAGAACTAGAGGATGCCACACTTTCAGACAGATTCTGGTCACTCACGGAGCAGAAGATCCCCAGTGGAGAAGTCACATGGGTCTCCAGCGCAACTCTTGTGGCTGGCGCAGCAGTTTCGCCAGCACCTCAGCGCGGCAGCTCTCTGAGCAGAGTAAACAGGGCTGGCTCCCCTTCTGACCAAGGTTTGGAGGACCCACACGGGTCCCTAGCACGACTCCTGAGGCCGGCACAGCGGCTGTGAGGGCACCTCGGTACAGCAGCTCTCGGCGCAGAGTAAACGAGACTGGTTCCCCTTCTGACCGAGGTTTGGAGCCCTGGGAAGGCAGAGTTGCCTATTACAGACACAAGAAGGAAGCCAGACAGGAGAATCCTGGGCAGAAAAGCACCATCAGTCTTAACGCCGCCGTTCTGGCCCTGGGAAATAACAACTTGGACGTCCACTCAAGAGACCTAATCTGAAAGTTGGTAATTTCAAAGATGACTGGAGGATAAATTTACAATGATGGGAAGAAACCAGCATAAAAAGGCTGAGAATACTCAAAAGGCTGAGAATACTCAAAATCAGAACGCCTCTCCCTCTAAAGATGATCACAGTTCCACATCAACAATGGAACAAGGCTTGATGGAGAACGAGTGCATCCCAATAACAGAATCACTCTTCAAGGAATGGATAATAAGAAACTTCTGTGAGTTAAAAGAACATGTTGTAGCCCAACATAAAGAAACTAAGAACTTTTAAAAAAGGTTTGATGAAATCCTATTGAGAATAGACAACTTAGAGAGGAATATAAGTGAATTAATGGAACCGAAGAATACAATATAGGAACTCTGAGAAGTATGCACAGGTTTAAACACTCAAATTGTTCAAGCAGAAGAAAGGATATCAGAGGTCAAGGTCCAACTTAATGAAATAAAACAAGAAGACAAGATTAGAGAAAAAAGGATAAAAAGGAATGAGCAAAGACTCCAAGAAATGTGGGACTATGTGAAAAGCCCAATATCCAAAGATAATCAAATATCATTTATTCTACTTCAAAAACATTTTTTCTTATCCATCCCCTCGAAATTTGATCATGTCACTCTCTGCACCCAGATCACACAGAATTACTGGATATTGCCTCTAAATCCAGGCTATTTTATATTTCTAGAGCTTTTCTCAGTTTGCTTTATTATCTGAAATGTCCTCATTTTTCCTGTTTTTGGGGACTCTGATAATGTCATTTTCTTAATTAATATTTTCTCAACCCACTACTGACTCCCCATGCCCACCAAAACATAACCCTCCTATTGAATTTCATATATACCCTAACAAAGCACTTATAATATTAAGACACTATAATTTTTAAGACACTATTAACTCATGGGATTGTTTGCCTGTCCTATCTATAGGCCATATCCAAACTATTAAGCCAAAATATTCCTCTAGAAAGAGACCATTTCTGAATTTACTTTGTATCTCTGGGATCTAGCTAGCATACTGCCTGGATCAGCAAATATTTCTTGAATAAATGAACAAATGAATTCATAACAACATACAGTGTCTGTACTACATCATTTTTGTGCAGCTGACACTTGAGAGCATTGAGAGCATGGACTTTGGAGTCATATAAATATAGGTTTAAGTTCTCTGCTTAACACAGCATAAGTTGTTTGTCCTTAACAAGTTAGCATCTTAAAATTTCAGTTTCCTCATCTGTAAAATAAAAATAATACTACTACCTCATTCAGTTCTCAGGATTAAATAAATGGAGGAAATGTGTAAAAAGAAACCAGGAGACAACTGGCATAAAGCAAAGACTTAAATACATATTAGTTGTGAACATTATTATCCAAGCTGGATGTGGTGGCTCATACCTGTAATCTCAGCACTTTGGAAGGTGGGTGGATCATGAGGTCAGGAGTTCAAGACCAGCCTGGCCAAGATGGTGAAACCCTATCTCTACTAAAAATACAAAAAATTAGCCAGGCATGGTGGCACACGCCTGTAATCCCAGCTATTCAGGAGGCTGAGACAGAGAATTGCTTAAACCAGAAGGTGGAGGTTGCAGTGAGCTGAGATCACGCCACTGCACTCCAGCCTGGACGACAGAGTGAGACTCCATCCTAAAATATATATATATATTATCCTATCATTTTGCTCAAATCTTCCCTCTGTCTGGTGAGTCCCCTCCCCAGGATGGCCTGCCTTCATTTTTTAATCTAATACCTTGACTTCTTTTAAAACTTAAGCAGGCTGTTTTCTCATCTCAGACTCTGCCCTGACTTCCTCCACTGCTTGTGGTCAAGTAGTACTCTTCTTTTTCACTGTTCTCAAAGTTCCGTATGCTGTTTCTCCTATAGTAAATATTATTCAGAGCATGTGTCTGTTTACATGCCTAGCTCTTGCATTAGACTATAAGTTCAATAAGAAAAGGAGCTATGCATTTTACCCCATAACCTAGCCACCTGCATAGCAGGTATGTTGTGCTCAATAAATGATCACTGAGAAGAGAAATACTGCCTAATAGAGTACCATGAGTGTGGTAAATGTAAATATTTTTTGATGACTCCGAGGGATTAAATGGTTGACCTACTGTGCCCTATAAGGTTATTTGGTTTAGATTATTCAATCCCAGTTGAATTAAGTGCTAGCAATTATATTGACCTGGTCTATATGGAGGTATTGTATATAGCACATGGTAACTATACACCCTTATGAATAAGCTCTTGTTTGGATATATTCGCAGCTCTCTCTTACAGCTAAGTTCAAAAAGTAGGCAAAGAAGTCTAGCTAAACAGGAAGTGGAATAAAGCATTACAGGAAACTCTTTTAGTCCCAAAAGCTATTTCTTCCCAGGCTTTCTTTAATTATTTTAAACGTTTATTGCTTTAGTCTCCATTCTGCTTAACACAAGATAATTAAGACTATGAACTCTTGTCTTAATTGCCACATATCACTACAATGAAACCTGCAAAAGATAGCACAATTTTCTTCATGTAATTTCTTTGATTTGTATTTGATGAAGAAAAATTTTTCCCTGAAAACAGCATGGAATCCTGAGATAATGCCTTAAAATATTTATTTATAATTGGAAAGGCAGACTCTTAATCATGGCATGGCTTAATTATAGCAGCATAAGTATAATTAGCACTGTTGCAATAAATTACTAATTTATAAGATGAATTATCTTGCTTCATATTCAAAGTAGAAAGAGTTCTAAATATTATTGTATGAATTCTTGGTTTAAATTATTACCCTTTTGGATCCTGTCTGTTGATAACTAAATATCAAAATGTTTATTTCTCTCTATATACATTAATTTTAATATCTAAAAGTTGAAAGTAGAAAAGCCAAGAAAACCAACCTACTATCCATTTTAATTTACATTATTCATTAAGCATCAATGTTCATTATCTATTTACCAATTTTCAAATTTATTTCAAATAGTTTTCAATACATGTTATCCTTGTCATTGATACATGAGTAAAAATCAGCATGGATTTATGCATAAGAAATGGTAGGGTTTAGTGACAAGGAGAGAAAAACAAGTTAATGGCTAGAAAGTACATAACAGATAGTTCCAATTCTTCAGAAGTACCATTTTGTGTTGCTATAATAATTTCTAACTTTTATTTTTCAGCTTAATGTTTCAAGTTCATTTTTAAGTGACACAATTTTCTTTTAGCCATCATTCTTTACCAAGGAGGACCGTGAAAGCAAAATATTACTTTTTTTTTTTTTTTTTTTTTTGAGATGGGGCCTCACTCTGTTGCACTGGCTGGAGTGCAGTGGCAATTCACAGATACAGTCATATCTAACTGCAGCCTCGATCACCTGGCTTCAAGCAATTCTCCAGCCTCCTGAGTAGCTGGGACTACAGAAAATATTACTATTTATAATGTCACCTACTTCCAATAGCTTTTTTCTTTTATTACTTTGCCATTTCCTATAAAGTATATTCCAGCAATAAGCTCTAGGCCAGACATATATTGCTAGAGAAAGGTGGTTATTTGTTTAAATTCCTCTTTCAATATGATTTGTTACCATAAATCCTAGGCATTCTTTCTTCCTCTTGAAAGAAAAAGCACAATTTAGGAAAGAAGAATTTGCCACTGTTACATCAGAGGCCAGAAAGTCTCTACAAAAGTAAATAAAGGGTTTAAACAAATTTCAAGTTATCTAAATTCCAGTGTATTCAAGACAAAGTGGATTTAAGGAGCTTGAATTCTCCTGAAAGTTGACTCAATTCTTTAATCACATTCAAATTGTACGGGGCGATATATTGGAAGTATGTAAACTTAAGCCTTGAGAAATTCAACATGTCAGTCTGGGGTTATGAGGTCATTTTCTGAAAACGGTGATGTAATCACCTCATTCTCGTGGAGTCTTCATTCCCAGCATGACTCACTTCAGGACCACTCATCAGCCACTGATCAGCTCTGCAGATTGGCCTGATGTTCAGGATCATCACAGATGTCTCTCTGATCAGCATTAATGAGACATTCGCCTCTGCCAGACTTCAAGAATCCAGCCTTCATGATTTAGTGCTGAAATAATTTGCTACCATAGAAAGCCTTGGGAATCAAAGGGGAAAAACTGATTAAGAAATTCTATTTAAAATTCATTACAGAAATTATATGATTTGTAAAAAATTAACCCAGTTAAACATTTTCTTTGAGTTTTTTCTCAGGGCAATATACCATGGCCTAGCTCAATTCTTCTTAGCTCAATTCTTCTGCATACTCTTATAATAAAGCAATACTGACCATTTATTGTAAAATAAAAAAGTTAACTGCATCTTAAGGTACAAATATACAATAAAATATTAAATATATTTATTTTAAGTCAAATTGAAATCTGCAATGTTATTGGTTTTTCTCTTTACCTAACTTCTTGCCAGGCAGTCTGATGATTTCTTGACAGTACCACCCTCAGCATCAGTCATAACTGTTGAAGTGGCTTACATGAGTGAGGGAAAACATCGCTTAAAGATGACATGGTCATATCATTGACCTTGAGCTTCTCCTGAAGAAAATGAATTGGCTTACTAAAGCTGTCAAGCAGAAAGCAGAAACCATCATTTTCTAAATATTTTCAAGGTAAAAATCCTCAGGGACAATCTTTTATCAGTGTCTCAGGCTTGATTAACTGTCTTAATTCACTATGATTAATGGCTTTTAAAACTCTGAGGCACCAAGTTTCTTTATTTCTTGTATTATGTGAACCTTGTAAGTAGGATGTTCTTCAAATGAACATTCTAACCTACACACAAACCACATCAACAACTGTAACAGATAATTATGCATTATGTCACTCAGTTAGTATGAAAGACATTTCCAGGTAAGGCCCTCCTTTCATTTAAATAGAGATGTCAGTTTCTTACCCCAAAATACATATCTCTTCACACAGGCAATTTATCTTCCATCAACACATGACACTGTATTCTTCCTGTTTTCACAAATGATTATGTCACTTTGAAAACCTACTAATTATTCATTTTTGTCAAATAAAGATTTCAGCCATAGTATTTAAATATTACTTTGCTTTTTAATAGCTAGTGAATAAAAAATATTAAATAGAAGAGACAAGTGTGAATGCTAATAGAATATCAAAGCTCTGCATATTCTTAAAGATAATAAAGTTCAAGTTCCAACATCCTATGTAAATTATATAAAATTCAATGGACTGTCATTATCTACAGTGAATAGGACAAAGGTTTCCATCGTCAATAAAAAGTAGGATCAATTACAGACTTTGGCCACAAAAATTGTGAAACTGGCACAAAAGTTTTATTGCAAATGCTGGCTGAGCGCGGTGTCTCATGCCTGTTAACCCAGCACTTTGGGAGGCCGAGGTGGGCGGGTCACCTGAGGTCAGGAGCTTGAGACCAGCCTGGCCAACATGGTAAAGCCCATCTCCAATAAAAATACAACAACAACAAAAAATTAGCCAGGAATGGAGATGCATGCCTGTGGTCCCAGCTGCTCAAGAGACTGAGCCTGGAGAATCACTTGAACCCAGGAGGTGGAGGTTGCAGCGAGCCAAGATCACACCTCTACACTCCAGCCTGTGCAACAAAGCAAGACTCTGTCTCAAAAAAAAAGAAAGCCATAGTCTTTCTCTGTGGGATGAAGGGAATGAGATTTTAAAGCTTTATTCAAACCCAAGTATGGTCTTCAGAATAGATGCCAAAGATAACTGCACTGTTAGGGAGTACCTGGGCCTCCACATTAGTCTCCTTTAGCCTAGAAGGCAATTTATTTTAAGTGCACAAGCACTCAGAAAAGCAGATATACCTCAACCTTCCAGGTTCTCCTTAGGTGTGTCAGCAAATACCCTACTCAAACTCTAGGACTTCCTTATTTCTCCCAGGCTTTAGGACAAAGTCATAACAACCTGAAAAGCAATCAGAATTAGTCAGGTTCCAAAACATCACCCCATTGACACTACTGCCTTGAAGAATTTGTACCAAAAGCATACACCAACTTTAAAGAGAAAGGGGTATAGCTCACCTAGGCTGAAGTTGATATGATGTATTTTTCAAATGATTATATAAAGCTTTTAGAAGTTAGTTAATAAGACTGAAAAACAAAGACAGGGAAATTTTACAAGGAAATAAGACCCTCATCACACTAACATCCTTCTTTTCACAAACTTATATAACTTCAGCTAGTGAAACAGTAATAAATTATAATTCTTAAGAATAAAATAATTTAAATAGAAATTATCTCTTCTCTAAAGTTTGTATATTTCTTTTTAGATGTAGAATTCATCATTTGAGTTATTTTTAATTCTTCCAGAGGAAAATAATGAGTTCAATTTTACATGGTTTCTATGTGTTTATGATAGCTTTAAAAGGGATCCACAGGAGGCCTTTATTCATGGAAAATAAAACTGTTTCAGAGAATACACTGGATGGTTATTAAATTTTTATCTAAATTTTTTTCTATATCAAGCTTACTTGATGTAGCTCACTATCGCTTCATAACATAAAACTTCTTTAATGTCAATTTTTTTAAGACACAAATTAATTTACAGGGGAAAGAAATGAATACATAGACATATGATTTTTAGGGTATTGATAGGTGTCATTAATCACTCTAAGGTTAGAATAGTACAGCCCCCAGTAAAATTCCACAACATTTTTTCTAGCCTAAGATCTGTGACAGATTAAAAAAAATCCATCCTATTTCTTTTCTTGTTAATAAAATGCAGAACTTAAACCTCTGAAGAGTTTCACAGTTAAATCTCTAGCAACTGACTTTCCATACTGTACACAAAAGGAAAGTGTACAGAGGCAGATGACCTTAAGATGTTTGTTTATTGGATTTTCTCACTCTTATGTACAATTTTAAAAGAAGTGAAAAACCCATACTAAATAAATTTATTACTCCCTTTGCACAAAATCTATATAACGTAATAGTTTGTGTTAATACAATAATATAATTCACATAAAATGCAAGATACAAGGGACAAACATCATTAAGAGGGCTGATCTGAAGTGCCCAATATTGATCTCCACAAAGAAGGACCAAAACAACAAATAGATAACTGTACTTTCGGTAGAGTGTCTAAGGGAGAACACTGCAACTCAGCAAGGAAATGACAAATATCCTCTGAGACAGGGAAACTCGGGATAGCAGTATAGAAAGGGAAATAAAGCACCCAGCTGGGATTGTCCCATAGACAAGGGAATTTCTTATTATGGGGAAAAACTAAGTGAGAGATCCCCAGCAATACCTATAACCACCATGAATACCTGCGATCCTAGCTACAGAAGGCCTTATGTCAGTTTAGGGAGCTGCATGGACCAAAACTTCTACAGCACAGGGCCATTTTGAGAAAGGAGCCACTGCAGAAGTGCAACCTGCCCTGGGGCTGAATTTTACCACTTTTATTCAACACAACACTGGAAGTCCAGGCAAGAGCAATTAGATGAGAGAAAGAAAGAAAGGAAGGGCATCCAAATTGCAAAGAAAGAAGTCAAATTAGCCTTGCTTGCAAATGACATAATCTTCTTTCAATTTTTTATTTTAATTTTTATGAATACATAGTAGGTCTACATATTTACTTGACAAGTATTTGCTGAATACTATGTGCTGGGCACTGCTCAAGAAACTAGAGATACAGTAATCAACTAGACACATTATGTAGGCTTTCCAGTTCCTGCATTTCATTTCTTTCAAAGGGCCTTGCCATGCCCAGAAACCCATTCTATTCTAATTCTAAAACCCCATATTTTTTTCCACCTTGTTCCCATTTTCTCTTGTATCCAACGCATACCTTATCTATCATCTAGTCCTTGACTTTAATAATTTTTATAGTTAATGCACACATATATAATACATACATTTATACATATATATGAATAGATATTATATAATGTAAATAATATATATAAACTCATATGGGAATTTTCTTAACTACTTTGTAATTTCCCTGAGGGGTGACATATTTCTATCTTATATCTCTAGCATATAGTAGAAACACACAAATATTTAAGGAATATACCTATGAGAATACCACTGGATAGGGACTATCTATTCGTATATAAATGAAACAAAGGAAAGAGATCAACTTAATTCCTCATTGTAATATAAAAATTCCTATTGAACACTGGCATCATTGTAAGTGCTTTACACATATTTAATCCTCAAAAAATTCTATGAAGAAGGTACTATTATTATCCTTATTTTTTATATGATAAAATTGAGGCAGAGAGAAATTAAATGCCTCTTTAATGCCAGGGAATGGTGGTGTCAGATACAGAATTTTATTTAACCATTCTTATCTACTTTATCATACTGTTTTTCATGATTCTGAGTCTAGAGATTTAGACTTCTGACCTTATTAAATGCCTCTGCCTGACAACTTTCATAAGTGTCTTCATACTAATGTCATAGTGAAAGCTCTGTCAATAAAAAAGAAAAAGCCCTAATAAATTCATGATTTAGACTTCTGTTAACATGGGGTGACTTTATAGTTTTTCATCCAAATCAAGACACTTTTGGGATTAAAGGGGGTGCTGTATTCATTATATATTGCTTTATAACCAATTACCCCTAAATTTAGCAGCTTAAAACACACGCACCTCATCTCACATACTTTCTCAGAGACATGAACTTGGGAGGGGCTTAGCTCTTAGTTCTGTTTCAGGGTCTCTCATGAATCTGCAGTCAAGATACAGGCCCATACCCTAACCATCTGAAGGCTTAACTGGGCTGGAGGATATGCTTCCAAGCTGGCTCACATGTCTGCTAGCAGAAGGCGTCAGTTCCTCACCATAAGGCTGCTCTTGGCAAGGCATCTAGCTTCCCCTAAAGTGAATGATGACAGAGACAGAAAGGAAAGAGAAAGACAGTGCAAGAGCAAGATGGAACCACAGTGTTTTTATCATCTAATCTCAGAAGGGTTATACTCTCACTTTTGCCTTACTCTATGGTTAAATAGACCAACTGTGATACAGTGTGGCAAGGGATTACATACATTGTGCATGCTGGGAGGTGGAATCATGAGGCACCATCTTGGAGGCTGGCTACCACAGGTGTTAATTATTATGCCAGGACAGCAGGCATAAATGAAGACAGTCCCTATGCCTTGATTTGTATTTAGCATATCAGGAAGTCATTTTCTACCTCTGAAAGTATTTAATTCTACAACTAAGTCCCTAGAAATCCATGATATGAATAACTGCCATGACTCTGTCCTACTCACTCCCATCAAATCACTCTATGACATTGCTGTGGAAGACAACAGCAGTCAACAAGTAGTAGCTTCTCAACTGGCTCTTTTCTTCCACAGCAAATACTAGACTGTTGCTTCTCTTTGTCCCTCACAATTACACCAAGGCCCCGAAACATCCACATCAATCTGGGAGGTTCGTGAATGATAAATGCTTTAAAACCCTGAAAAACATTGATAATATTAAAACTTCAGTCCTTTCTGATTTAAATAAATCTCAGTAAGATGACCCTTGGAATTACAATCATGGTATTTTCTGTGACAGGTCAATGCACTGGCAGAGAAAAGCACTAAAACCTAAAAAGGATTTGCTCATAATTATTGGTACTCTCAACTCCAGGCATTTTGCTTTCAACAGCTAACTTGACCATGTGCCATCATAATCACTTCCAAATGAACTTGGCCATGGTGCTAAAGCCAACTCCAACTCACCTTCTCAGTCTGTAAGAACAAGAACTAAAGCAAAGGCAACGTATCTGGATTAAAAGGTTTGGTTATTAGGGGTAGTTAATTCTCTTTTGTTCTGAATATACTAGATATTAAGCATATCTACCTATACCCTGATATCGGATAAAAAAGAATAATAGTGCATGGTAATATAGTATCATTTATAAGAATCGAGTTAAGTAAACCAATTAAGTCAGAAAAACAATCCTTCATTTCTAATAACCATTAAAGTAAAGACAACAACCATAAAGAATCATGGACACTGGAATCATAAGTAGAAAATCTGAAACTATTTGTTTTTACCCTGTGCATATTATATAAGACCATCTGCTCAGAGGAAAGTTCATTAAAATTGGAGAATATAGTGACTGTCTCAAATAGGGCAGTAGCTATTATCATATTACAGTCAGAGTGGTAATCTGAATGTCAAGCTTAAAATCTGAGAGTCCATGCATGATTCAGTGCTATTGATATGTTGATGTATTGGAGAGAGAGGCTGGGGGAGAGGGAAAACAAAAAAGACAGAGAGAGAACTAACAGACTATACCTCCCTTCTCTTAATTGTGTGTTCACACTCTTGACCAGAGAAGTCAGGAACTGACTTGCAAAGAATGAAAACAACTGTAAACTTCCCATGAAAGTCAAACAAGGAACAATGAACCCAGAGAAATAGAGATAAAGTATTTCACCTATGTCTATCATGATTCATTACTTACATTTATTCCATCTCCAGAACTATCTTGACAAGTCCTGTTAAGAAGGATAAAGGAAGGAACTGCATGACCAGGGTACTTTAAATTGCTTTCCTTCTTCATCCTTTCAGTTGTGCTGGGGAAACAAGTTAGTTGCTTTTTTCTAGGATTTTTCCCCCCTGTTGATAATATATCTTCCCATCATTTGTAAGCCCAGATCCTTTTTCTCATTTCAATTTTAAAACAAACCTCCTGCCAGTTGATGCTGACTTTGCTTTGCTAAAGGCTGGGTAATTCCTCTAGGCAGTAGAATACCTCATCTGTTACTTGAATGTTGTTTTCCTTAGTGGAGTCCTGTCAAATAATTTTTTTCTTGCTCATCAATTTCCCTCCAGTTCAGGGACCACTATTGATTTACCATAAGTTAAGTCAATTTACTCCTAAATTTTTCTAGCTGTGATTTGGGAATATTCATTCAAGTGCACAGAACACCCACCATGAATCACATTTACATGTGTCTTTAATCTTAAACCTTTAAGCATCTGCTAGAGTTATTCTTGCTTCTCTCTTGTTTTCGCAACATGTACACAAAACATTATTTAATGCAGAAGAAAATTTCAAATCTTGTCTTCATTTAGAAGAGGTCATAGAATAGATGTTTCCATGCAAGAAAAATGTTTTATGTGTTTATAAACTGCATCCAAGAGTCATCAATTCTATTTGAAAGAAACTGCAAACTGACCTTATTCCTTAGTATGTGTTTTCCATACAAACAGAAAGAGTTACT